AATTAAGAATTTCTTTCTAAAAATCAACGTTTATTCATAAGGGGTCAAATGGTAAGATAGATATATGTAAAATACCGGTACGTTTAGTGTTCATAATACTTTCTATATAATATAATATAATATAATATAATATAATGTAATATAATATTATATTCTATTATATAATACTCTATAATATTCTTCTATGTATAATATTATATTCTATATATTATAATATTTATAATACTCTATAATCTTCTATACAATATTTATTTTCTATAAATATATATTTTCTATCTGTTTTTTTCTATATAATTATATATTATGTTTTTCTATATATTTTATATATTTCCTTCCTTTTTTTCTATATAATACTACAGAAATATAAATTAATATATTTCTCCAGATGGCCAGCATCGAGGTGTCTTTGTCAACCACTCCAAGAAGAAAGAAAGGTGGAAGCGTTTCCGGTGGTGTGACATCGCCAGCCGGTCATCGAAACAGAGATCACTATAAGGAATTGGACGCCCTTCGAATCGCACTGCGTGACAAGGAAAATATCATTCAAACGTGAGAGAGCATTCTGCACATTCCTCGAGAAAGAAAAAAGAGAGAGAGAGATTTACCTCGGACGGAAGCAATCCTCGCACAATGTGATTCCAGGATCTTTCATTGTGTTTCAGGTTGAAGGGGCAACTGTGCAACACGCTGAGCAACAGATTAGCGTTGCGCAATGGCGCCGCACCTTTGACCGAGGCTGACAGGAAAGCAACGGAGGAGCGACTTCAAAGGTTGCGGCGCGACGCTGACAACAAACGGCTCGCGATAAAAAATTTGAAATTGGCGCTCGAACGGCTAGACATTACAGAGTGAGTGGAAACTTGGATGAGAAGAGTTGAAGCTACCATAAATTAGATCTCACTGTGTGTGAACCAGAATGATCCTGATGATTTCATGATATTCGACGTTTGAATAATTTATATTTAATTGTCAAATCCAGATTAACTGGAACGTCTAGAGATTCGCTTGTCACGAGTAAACAATTATAGAAAGTATGAAATTAAAGTGTTAAAATTGGACAGAGAATGGACGATAACTTGACTAGCTATAGCATTCAAATCCCA